CGCGCTCGCGCGTGCGCAGACCATCCTTCGGCCGGCGCTCGCACGGGGTCTCGCACGAGCGGACAAGAAGGGCAGGACAAGCCAGGTGAGTGAAGGGTTTGGGCAGGGCGTGCGCAACAGTGCCTGCCCGGGCCCTGCCGTACAGGCGCGGGAAGGGCAAGGTGCGCATGCCTGTGGGCTGGGCGGCCTCAAGAAAACATCGCAGGAAAGGGGCAAGGAGGGAAAGAGGCAACCAGGGCGAGGCGAAGAGCGCTGGCCGCCCATGAAACTCCTCGCGGGGCCCCCGAGACATGCATCAAGGTGGTCAGGTGGAGAAGCAGGTGCAAAAAGTGGTATTGATGGCGTCCCAATGTTCTGGATCTCGGGGGTGCATTCTCCAGCTACCGTGCAGATGCCCGCAGGACACTGTGTGGATGTGAGCCGAGGCCTCCAGCGGAACCGACGTCGCAGCCGGCGTTTCAGTCGGAGCTGATGTGGCTGTCGGGGCTCGGAGTTGAGGCCCGGGTTGGCGTCGGAGGCAACGCAGGAACAGCAGACGGCGTCGGATATGATGTTAAGCGCAGCAAGGACAAAAGACTTGCGTGGTGACTTCGAGCGTGTAAAGGTCTGAGCCTGGCATTAGGTCGGGCATGTCCCCCTACAGGAGGATTTTGGACGACAAATAATATATATATATATATATATATATATATATACTCACAAGACAAAAAAAAACATAAAGAAGAAACGATAAAACAAAAAAACGTGCCCTGAATATGGTTTGAACTATTTTTGAATATTCCCCCTGTGGAGGGACAGGTCCGACTTAAACCTGGTACATGGGCAGCACGCGAGCCAGGAGCACCTGATCGGTGCAAGGATTCGCGAGTTGAAGGATTTGGGAGCGCCCACCGTGGAGGGCGGACGCCCTGGTCAGGGCGAAGCAAGGGAAGTCACTGCACCGACCTTGCAGACGTGCTGCAGCGGATTTGTTGCGTGGATGTCTGTCAATGCAAGGCCCCAAAACGGCGAGCGAAAAACGAAGTGAATTTCACGTGGATGTTTTTTTAGTCTGCATTCCTGACCGGAAAAAGGCACGAAATCCACTTCGGAATCCGAAACGAAATTATCCAGAACAATTCGGGCCGCGTCTTCTGTGTTCCGAACGAAATCCGCTCTGCGATGTTGGCGCCATGAGACACGGGGGGCGTCACCTTGGGGGGCAGCACGCATGCCAGGAGCACCCGAAGTAGCTGAGAGGCAGGGGCGCCCACCTTCGGGGCCAGACGCCTTGTCCCGTGGCACCAGAAGGCTGCAAGCACACGTGATCCACGAAGGGTGCCCACCAAGGGGCAGGCACCCCTCGATGCAATCGGAAGCGGCTTGCTGGGCAGCTGCGCGGCGCTGGAAGCGGTCGGAGCTGCAGCCAGCACTGTGCGAGTCCAGCGTGGCCGATCTTCTGCCTGAGGGCGCGGGCATGCCGGACGGCCCTGAGCGCCCCGGCCCCACAGAGCGCCCCGGTGTCGGAGCTCGTCGCGCCAGCGTTGAGCCCAGCCTGGTGCTAGACTCCATGCAGGCGGGAGTGGTCCCCAGAGGGCCGGGAGGCGTCGCTGGAGCGCTTGCCACCTTCGCCTTCCCCTCCGAGGCCGCGTACCCGTCGTTCCTGCTGTTCTGTTGGCGCCCTACCCCGTCCCAGTCAACCCAGAAGCGGCGGTTGCGGCAGAAGTCCCCGATGTCAAGACGAAAGCCGGCCAGGTCGGACAAGAAGCGTCTGCAGGAGGAGCAGAGAGCACGTGGCAGAACCAAACGGGCTGATCGGGCGGGTAGTCCCTAACGGGCTGGTCGGAGGAAGGCGGGCCCAGGCGGCCAGGTCGAGCAGGCGGGTTGCGGAAGCGTGAGTCCCGCACGAATCGCGAGAGGGTCTCGAGCGACATCGCGACTCCCAAGTGAATCGTGAGACAAAGAGGATCGAGAGCACGATTCCTGAGCGTCGAGGGCGCGGCGTCTGAATGAATTGCGAAGAATTCCCACGCGAGAGCGCGATTCCTACATCAATTGTGAGGAAGTCCCGCGCGCGAGTGCGCGATTTTGACATCAATTGTGCAGAAGGATCAGGCGAGAGCCATTTTTGTTGCAAGTCGGGGGCAAGGTGCGCAGTCTGAGGAGGAAGACTTCCCCTTGATCAAAACGAGGGCGAGCCCGGGAGGAGCACTTTAATGAAAAAGCCATCAGGTGCACCTGAGGGGGGATCTACATTTTTTAGAAATTGAGCATTCAACAGCAGCAGCAACAACCAAAAAAAACTAGTCCTCAGACCTCCCCAGGGCCGCGGCGGACGTGCGCGGCAGCAAGCCCAGGCATCCCAACGGCGCGATTTGCTGTCGGGCATGTGCGCAGACAAGAGGGGGCGGGGCGCCAGGGAGCGCATTGCAACAAGAGGAGTGGCCATGAAATCCGAGGAGAGATCATAGCCCTGGCCATGATGACCACCACCCCCCACAGGACATCACCCCCCTCTTGGCCTCGCCCGTTCTTCTCTTAGCCGCCCCCGACCTTCAAGAACATGAGACTCTCCGCCAGCAAGACACAGAGCCTCCGAGGGTACCCTCCCCGGGATGCACGGGGACATCCGACGAGCATGAAGGACATCCTGGCACCCTCCCCGAACCGACCTAGACCTGATACCCCGGTCCAACCGCACTGGAAGCCTGCCGTCGTCATACTTTATCGGCGCGCCACGCAGGGGAGCATCTGTGCACGGTAGCGCAGCTGGCCTCGAGCCTCCAGCGGTCCTTCGGGACGGTTCTGGCAACCCCAGAACGCTCACGGCGAGGCACAGCTGCCGAAGGCATACTGAGGCGAGGAACCCGCAGGAGGACGAACGAGAACTTCCCAAACCTTTCAGAAAAACTCCTCGAACACAAGATTCAGGCATGTCCAGTCCAACATGCACTGCTACTGAAGGGTGCCAGAGGGCCTTGGGAACGCACCTGAAGCAGCTATGATGAGTCATGGCAGGGACCAAGCGCGATGGTGATGGGGCAAGATGAGACAAAGCAAAGGAGGGAAAACGCCCCCCGCCCTTCTCTGCAGGCCCTCCAACGGGGCTGGAGCAGATGGGATCGGAGGATCGCGCCGCATCGCCGATACATTGGCGATGCGGCGGCGACGTCAAGATTGAAGAATTTGGTACCCAGATCGCAAAGCATCGACAATGTACCGGCAAGGTGGCAACATCCTCCGACCTCATCTACACTAGCCTTAGGTCGGGCATGTCCTCCTACAGGCGGATTTCGGAAGAAGGATGAAAAATCGCCCAACATAAATTCAAAAGTGGTCGAAAAACACTCGAAAAATCGTGCCCAGACTATGTTCTAGCATTCTTGAACCTGCCTCCTGTAAAGAACAGGCCCGACTTAAATCTACACCAGCCCTTGTTGGGCGGCCTGGACCCCGCCCCAGCCCCCTCCTGGGGCAGTCCCCTCCAGGAGGAGGACGAGGAGGAGGGGGAGGAGGAGGAGCAGGAGGAGGAGGAGGAGGAAGAGGAGGAGGAGGCGGAGGAGAGGGAGGAGGGCTTCGACCCCTCCCCTCCCCTCCTCCCGGAGGCTTCGACCCCTCCCCCATTCGGTGGCAACTCATGGGAGCCTCCAGTACCATCTTGTCGGCTCTGGCGAATCAACGCTAGTCGACGCTGAATCGACGCTAATCGACGCTAAGTCGGCGCTATCTCATCGACTCCCAGACACTAGTCGACGCTAATCGACGCTAAAGTCGGGTCTGAGAGGGTATGCTGGGCTCCTACGATTTGCTACCGAACCCCCAGGTTCGCGAAGATGGCCCACGAAATAACATTGACCAAGATGGACGGTGACCAAGATCGACACCACGAAGTTTCCGCGCCCAGGCTTGGTCGTGGTCCCCGCTGCCTTCCCCTCCAAACGATGGACCCGGCCTCCATCCCGAGCCGCTCTCTGGCGGCCCCGGAGCCTGGCACAACGGGGGCCACGCCCCCAGCAGGCCGAAGCCGGCACCAGAGACCTACCGCCGCGATCGATTTGCCTCGAAGCGCGCCGGGGGGCTCTGAGACCCCCAGCGCCCAGAGGCCCTGCGAGCGAACGAGCGTGCTGGCCCGAACGGGCGGGCCGGGCGGGCGGACCCTCACAGCATGGCGGGTCCACGACATCCGACGTGTCTTGATTTTGCTCGATGCCGGGCCCCAAAGTCCCCACCCATTTCCAGGGGCCGGCTTTTTGTCCTGAGCCGTTGCCTGGCGGTCCCAGCGCCCGGCGAGGCTCCCCCCCCAGAGGCCGAACACGACGAAAGAATTCCGCCCCGAGTCCTTGCAACACGTCGGGTGCCTGGGAACAAGCGAGCGGGCCCTGCACAACGGGCGGGCGGGGCTCGCGGACCCTGACGGCGGAGCGGGCCGGGCAGGCGGGCCCCACGAGAGCGAGGGCCGGGCGGGGCGGAGGGGGCCCCGTGGGCAGACGAGCGCGCGGGCCCTGCCGCGGGCAGGCCGAGCGGACCGGGCGGCGGACACGCGCGGCAGCGCGACGGGATAGCTCAGCAGCGACGGCGCGTCCCGCTCGTCGGGCGCCGGGCGCTTGCCCAGCGGCGCCGCGGCGCCCTCCGCGGCCTCGGCGGGGCCGCCCTGGCAGGCCTCGCCCAGGGCCTGGGCCTCCTGCGGCTCCGCGGCCGTCCGCCGCCGCTTGGCCTCGAGCCGCCGGGCAGGTCGCCGACCAGCGAATGGCGACGGCGACGACAACTAGCGACGACGAGGACAACGACGACGACGACGACAAAGACGACGACGGCGGCGACGACGAAGACGACGACGGCGGCGGAGAGGACGACGACGAGGACGTAGACGACGACGGAGACTAGCGACGACGACCTCAACGACGACGACGACTAGCGACGACGACGACGACGACGAAGACGACGACTGGTGACGACGACGAGCGACGACGACGACAACGACGACAACAGAAGACGAAAACGACGACACGACGAAGACGAGG